CCGAGCTGGGGACGGGGCCCAGGTCCACTGCGGGGCGCAGCTTTTGCCCGTCGTCGAGGTGCGACCACGTCCACTGTAGGTCGCCGAATAAACTTTGGCCCATGACGAATTGCGACCGAGGCTGGCGCCGACGGTTCGCAATGAAATTGCCGGGGCACGTTGTGGGCCTCGTGCCCAGCTACCACCCTGCATCCCTTTCGGCGCCCGGTCTCAGCGGCATAGAGCTGCCCGTGGTTGAGATTGCCCCAAGCATGGGAACTGCAACAGAAGACCGCTTGTTTCGAGCGCGTCGTTGCGGAGGGTCTTCTTGTAGATGCTCAACTGCGTTCGCGTGTTGACCCCTTGCGCCGCGGGGCTCTGCTCGTTGTAGCATTTGGTCATTGTCGCCCGTTGTATATAGCGGTACCTAACGAGATCTGGTGATTGGCGAACTCGGATTTCTCGCTGAGACGCCCATTCTATACGCGTGCGATGTCGTCACCGGCGGTTTGCCCCTTGGCTGTTCTGCTCTGGCGCCCGCGTGAAGTAGCGCGGTCGCGGTCCATGCGGCGCGGAGTCGCAAGCCGTTGACCATGGCCCATGTGGCTATGATGTTGGAGGGTGCCCTCGCAGCGCGGATGATTTCAGTCAAGGCGCTGCGTCGCATGCGGCCGTCGGCGTTCATGTCGTCAACGGAGGAGGCGCCAGTGAGCCGCGCCCCGCCGTCCTCGCCGCCCCTTGCGCGTCTGCCCTTGAAGAAGATTTCTCCCTGGTGTGATGCATCGATGTCGACGCGTACGTCGCAGTCGACCATGTCCTCCGAGGTATGGCGCGTAACCTCTGCGAAGATGTAGTTGAAGGTAGAGTTCGACGCTGGTGGTCCAGGAGGAGTGCCAGCGCGGGGCTGTGCCATCCTGGTGGATCCTTGCGCGGTGGCCCACAAGTCTGCGCGCGCATTGCAGTAATGCGCAGAGGTGGGGATCGCCGAAACGTGGCGGTTGAATTTAGGCGCTCCTTCCATAGCCAACTGCAAGACTGGAAGGAATGTTTCGGGCATGTTGATGTCGTGAAAAAGGTCATTCGGCTCCTCTGGCGCGCGTGCGACAGCTGGAGGATAAACAGCAGCGCGAGTATGTGGAGGGCGACCTTGAGGCCCAAAAAGAGGACCATAGCCGATTTAGGTCTGGTTTGATAGCATTGGGTTTAGAGAATGACGTTTGCCACCCTCCTTTGTGGGAAAGCGGTTCCACCGTCGCCATATGTGCCTTGACTAGAAGTGGGCGGTAGATTCTGGTCATCTCGCCCGGCGCGATCTTGCAGTAGTCGTTGGTGAGGTTGTCAGGGCCGCCGCTCCTTCCTTGCTTCGCTTGCCCGAACAGGCGATTCGCCCCTTCCATGGTGATGCTGTTGTTGAACGGTGTGTCGTGCAAGGTTCGGATGGTGGCTGCGTAGTTGGCATGGTGGTTGCGCTTATCGGCGATGTCCTGCAGGTTCATGATCTTCGAATGCTCTGCTATGGCGAAGTGGTCAAGCACTGCTTCCGCCTGCTGCTGTTGGTTATGGAGAAGGTGACCGTCAGAGCCGATGACGTGTAGGTGCTCGGCTGTAAAACGCCTCGGTCTGCCTCCATGCCTCCAGAGTCCCTTGATGTCGGCCCATGCTGGCCTGGAGTCGTTGTTGACGTACTTTGCCGCTGCGAAAGTTCGGCCAAAATTCAACGCCTCCCGTTAGGCGACGGGGCCCCAGTACAACGTTGACAGTGGGCCCGTTAGGCCGCGGGGCCCCAGTGCAATGTTCGGTTGAAGCATTTGTCGCTCCAGTCTCGGGCGGCGCCGCCCTTTCGAAATCAAGCCCGCGGGTTTCGAAATCCAGTCGAGCTCGTCTTGGGGGGGAAGTCCTAGGCGCAAGCCACATTTCGAAATCGAGTCCGAGGGTTTCGAAATCCAGTCGAGCTCGTTTAGGGGAGGAAGTTCCAAACGAAAGATGCATGTTCGAGTTTTCGGGTCAGGGCTTTTACAATTTTAAATGCCAAGCGGCGTGGCCATTTTGATACTTCCTCGAAGAAACGATTTCGAACGATTTCGAAACTTTCGGGTTCGATTTCGGAATGGCGTTCCCGCCTAGGACTTCCGCAAAAATAGAATTCGAAACCCTTTCTGCTCCGATTTCGAAATGGCGCTCCCGCGCAGGACTTCCTCAAACATAGAAATCGAAACCTTCCTGCCTCGATTTCGAAATGGCGCTCCCGCACAGGACTTCCTGCAAAATAAAGTTCGGCATTTGTTCCATTCGAACTCGAAATGGCGCTCCCGCCCAGGACTTCCTCCAAAACAGAATTCGAAACCTTCGGGCTCGATTTCGAAATGGCGCTTCCGCCCAGGACTTCCTCAATCAAGACTACGATCAGAGCCACGACCACGACCACGACCGCTACGACGATGACGACGACGACGACGACGACGACGACGACGACGACGGCGATTACGACGTTTACATGCGCTCTTGCCCGAATGCCGGCCACTCCTTAGTTCTCGCCTCACCGCCGGCCAGTGTCTTGGTCTGGCCGACCGCTCTGGGGTGGCGCCAGGAAAGGCCCCCGGTGCGGCGCTGGCCCCCTTCCGGAGGGGGGGACGTGCCAGGGGGAGACACCCGCCCCCCCCCCTTCAAGGGGGGATCCCTTGGGGGGAGATACTGCTGTCACCCCCAAACAGGCACATGTTTGAAAAGGACCCGCCCGTTTGGGCTGCTTCTGCTTGGGCCGCCTGATCGACCCCATTTCCTATTTGGAAAACCAATATGTTTTCCAGTCGTTTTCCGGGTTCCGGCCTTTTCTGCAAAATCGTGTTTTTTTTTGTTGTTGCGACCCCAGCCCGGAGGCCGAATCCAAGAGGTAAAGCACGACTCATCCGCCCGTTTGAGCTGCTACTGCTTGGGCCGCCTGATCTACCCCATTTCCCATTGGAAAACCCATATGTATTCCATTAGTTTTCCGGGTTCTGGCCTTTTCTGCAAAATCGTGTTTTTTGGTTGCGACCCCAGCCCGGAGTCCGAATCCAAAAAAAATAAGGCACGACTCATTTTGACTAGTTCCGCTTGTGGTCACATTCTCGGCTCCTCTCCTCTCCTCCTTTGGTCAGTCATCCTAGACACGGGGGTGTTAGCGTCAAGGTGATTATCGGCGCTCGGCTGCTCATAGGTTCTGTGGTGCTCTCAGGCTTTGGAGTGATGCTCACGGCCGTCGTGGTGTTCCTAACCAATGTGATGTTCAGGCGTTGTTTAGCTGAAAACACAAAACGGGTCAAACTTTCGTAGCGCCGATGTAAGCGTACTTTACGCGGTTGGCCATGCTGTCGAAGTACTTGAAGCGGTCGGTCTCGGTGGCGCTTGCAAGTCGGGGTAAGGACCCGCAAATATGCAGGTGCGGCTAGAGCTACCTCCTCGGGTTGGGCATAGTTGAGTATGATGTTTTCTGCTACACTTTGAAGTACAAGTAATGTTTCTGGGTTCGCCATGGTCACGTATGCACTGATGGTGGGGATGCCTGCTTCGTAGATCTGGCATGCGAGGTTGAGGAGGTCTCCCCGTGTCTTGATTTTCTTTCAGACTTGCCGTAAACGTCGTAGTGGTCGCTGGCATACTCTACGTACGCGGATGAGAGCGAACGCTGTGGATTGTAGGTATGGCTTCCTAGGCTGCACAGTGTCGGTCTTGAAAGCCTTACCTCCTGCCTAATGTACTTGTGTCTTCCCTCCTCTTTCTCCTCCGCCTCCTCCTTGTCCTCCTCCTCCCCCTGCTCCTCCTGCTCCTGCTCTTCCTCCTCATCCTCTTCCTCCTTCTCCTCTTCCTCCTCCTTCTTTTCATCTTCGTCTTTCCCCCTCCGCCCGCTTCCTCTTCCCCTCCTCCCCCACTCCTCACCCGTCCCTCTCCCTGGCGTTGGTTACCATCCTTCCTCTCGTTATCCTCCCCCGCTCCTTCTCCGCCTCTTTGCCGTCCTCGTCCTCGCCCTCGTCTCCCCTCTCCTTATCCTCCCCCCGCTCCTTCTCCTCCTCCCTGTTGTCCTCGTCTTCGCCCTCGTCCCCCCTCTCCTTACCCCCACCCCGCTCCTCCTCGTCCTCGCCTCCGTCCTCCTTCTCATCCTCGTTCGTCCTCCTCCTCCTTCTCGGCCTCCTCCTCATTCTCCTAGGTCCCCTCCTCATCCTCCTTCTCATCATCGTCGTCATCATCCTCCCTGCGACGGGCAGCTCCACTGAACACACGCTCGAAGCTTACAGCTGGCGGGGGCAGCGGTCCCTCTTTTGGGGGGCTCCGAAGCGGCGCCTCGGCGTCGGATCCGCGCCCGACGGCCCTGTGAGACATCAGCACCTAAGAACCTCAGGCCTTTCGCTGCTCCTCCTCCTCCTCCTCCTCCTCCTCCTCCTCCTCCTCTTCTCTTCCTCCCCCCCTCCTCCGCCGCGTACTCTTCCTGGGAGGGGAGACTCCCCTCCTCCTCCTCCTCCTCCTCCTCCCTCCTCCTCCTCCTCCTCCTCCTCCTCCTCCTCCTCCGCCTCCGCCTCCTCCTCCTCCTGCACCCACGAGCACCACGATAATGAAATACGACGCGCACTTTGGGCACAAGTGCGGTGTGTTCCTTGAGCGGCCTTTCCTTGGTCCTACAGAAAATGCCAATACTGCCCTGAACATTTCCAAAAGGGCACGAAGCGAGCCCCAGGTTGGCTCCAAGAGGCTCCCACAGGGGCCCAAATTGGCAACTGATGGGAGCTGCTCAGGCTCATCCCCATTCCGGCTTTTGATCCGTGCCCCCTTGTCCCCCTCCTCTGTTTCGCGAGTGCTCACTCACCTCCGCCCTCACGACAACTCGCCCAATGGCAACCGCTTCTCCTCGACCCTCCTCGACAACGGACTGCTCGCCCAGCGGCGCCCGCCTCCGGCAGGCCCTCGCTGACCCGGGGGGGAGGAAACGCCGCGCGGCCAATCCCTGGCGGGCCGCCGCGCGGTCCGCGCGCCAAGGGGCTGCCAAGTGTTTAGGCCGCCTTGCCAAGGGCCTGCGCGGGGTTGCGCCTGCCGCTGCTGCGTCGCCGATCTGTAGGTCTCATGCGCGACATCGCGATCTCGAGCTCCTCGAGCTCCAGATCCTGATCGGGGGGGCCCGACAGCGAATGCTGGCAGAGGCCAGCGCCTCTCCGCCCTCTGCAAAATGAACCCCTGGGCTGGCGTGCTGCCGAAGACTTGCGGGCAGCCCCGGCCCACGCGCCCCGTGACCTGGCAGCTGCAGCGCTCCACTCAGCAAAGGGTCTGCTGTGGTTCCTGTGATCGCGCTTCGCGCTGTGCGAAGCGCGCGCGAATAACTTCGCGCAGTCGCGCGCCGCCCCCCCCCCCCCCCCGCCGTGGGGGGCAAGCGAAGGACGAGGGATGAAGAGGATGAAGGATGAGGAAGACGAGGGGAGGGCCCAGGCCGCGAACCGCGAATAACCTCGCGTTCCAGTGGGAGCCCTCGGTCTAGGGTCCGACTGGGTCCCTGTGCCCATCTGGAGGCTTATGGCAGCAGTGAAGCAGGGAAATGGCAAACAATCGGCGGCAGGTAGGGCAAGGTCAGAAGGGGGGGCGACCTTCCGTGTAGGCCCCACCCCTTGCTTCTAAGAGGGCGCGGCGGCATGGGCATGACCGAGCAGCCCCCGTGAGTTCTCTCGCCTTCTACGAAAGCCGCCCGCGCTCGCCCCCTCCTCTTCCCAAACCACCGACCTCATGACGTGTTCAACGCTTGGCCCCTAGGACTTCTTGGCCCTTTCCCCAGGGTTAGCATTTCGTGCTGAACGGGGTGCTGAAAGCCCTAAGGATCAAAACGGGCCCTGGATCACGAAATGGAGGAGTCAAGCGCGGGAACCGACCAAAAAAACAGCCAGCCTGCCCGCCCGCTTCGTCCCGCCGGCCTTGGCCTCTCGTCGTCGCGTCCGTGGTCATTTGCTTGCTTTCCTGATGGGGTCGAAAGGAGGGGGGGGAGCCGGTGACAATGACCTGGAATCGGTGGTGCAACGCTGATCTTAAAAAACGGCCTATGCCGAAACCGCTGGTTCCTGCGCGGGGTGGAGGGCCATGGGGGGCCGAGGAGGGGGGTGGGAGGGGGGGGGAGGGGAGGGACCGTTCGGGATGGATGCGTCCCACCCGTGGGCCAGCCCCCTCCCCCCGCCCCTCCACTCGTTGCCCCCCGATCCCCACTTCCTGGGGGAGGCCGAGGAGGGCGGGGGAGGGGGTGAATCATCGGGGGTCGGTGTTGTCAGCCCGAATCCCACTCAGTGCTGTTTATGTTTGCATACTTGTGTAGAGTAGAACACAGCAGTGGAGAATAATAACCATTGATATACACTTGTTTCTGTAGTTTTCACTCGAGCGGTGCTGCCGCAAAAGAGGCGTCAACGCGATTAATGAAAACGCCTGCCTCATCCTCAATTCGCTGCAGGGCGACGCAGCCGAGGCGACGGAGGACATTGACCGGGACCAGTTGGAGACCGAAGAAGCATTCCACGCCATCATCCGAGTGCTGGATGAATACTACAAGTACGACAATCAGACAAAGCTGCCCGCCATGACAGACACCTTCTTCGGCAAGATCGCCCACCAGGAAAAGGAGGCGCTGAAACTGTGATATTTACGGCACCAGCGGAAGGTGCGGAAGCTGAAAGAGACTGGCATGGAGATTTCAGACATGCTGGCAGGGTGGCACCTCCTCAACAGAGCAGCTATCCCACCGAACGGTACCGCTCAGATAGGAAGCCATTGCGGCGATGGCCTGAGCTGGGCCAGGGTCCGCAAAGCGCTGTTGGACAATTGCGATGTATGGGGCTTCCTCTTTTTGGGCGTCGCGCCGCCGCAGGTTCAAAGTGCACGAGGCTCAAGCACACTCGAGGAGAAACGGCCATCGGGACCTGGCAAGGGCCCATACACGGCGAGCACCAGCACCCTCCAGCAGGTCAGCGAGCTAGCCAGCGAGCTTGGCTCGCCGGCCGCACTGACCCCTAGAGGGTAAGGCAGCCCGCCGAGTACAATTAGCCCCGCAAACACCAGGAAACACAGGTTAACGTGTTAAACCCGTGGGCCACCCCTCGAGAGCCTGACCTAAAAGGTGGCAGAATTGCGGATGGACGGAGGGCCGCTTGAGCCGTACACCTACGGAACGATCGAGCGAAGGAGTGTTCACCCTGAGCTCTCCCGAGGCCCGTCGGGCGAACACTATATCACCTGCTCGCTCGACGGCGGCGCTTTGCCTAAGAGGTCCAAACATACGCCCAACCCCGAGGGTGTTATGTTACATGTTTGGGGTTTCCTCTTTTTGGGCGTCGCGCCGCCGCAGGTTCAAAATGCACGAGGCTCAAACACACTCGAGGAGAAACGGCCATCGGGACCTGGCAGAGGCCCATGCACGGCGAGCACCAGCACCCTCCAGCAGGTCAGCGAGCTAGCCAGCGAGCTTGGCTCGCCGGCCGCACTGACCCCTAGAGGGTAAGGCAGCCCGCCGAGTACAATTGGCCCCGCAAACACAAGGAAACACAGTTTAACGTGTAAAACCCCCGGGGCCACCCCTCGAGAGCCTCCCACGTCCCCCTATTGTGGCTCTGCCGACCTATTCAAACGGATGCCATCGGGTAAGGTACCACTGGATCGAATTTACAAGTAAAGTCTTACAATCTCAGCTGTCTTAAAATATCTTTCCAGCGGAGAGCGGCAGCTCGAATTCTATCCTTGGTGCTAAGCAGAAGGGTGAGAGCGACGGCATCAGCAACTGCCTGAGACAAGTACAGTCTGGCTACTTTCGTGCCGCCCCACCGGCCCTGTTGAAGACTATACTCCATACTTCTATGGCGGGTGAAGTGGGCGGTCGCACCTCCTCTGCGGAGGCTGTGCATTGTGAACCCTCGGTCCTGAAGGTCGAACATCTGAAGCAACCAGGACAACTGCTTTCGAACGTCAGGCGCCGTCGCTCCACAGAGCAGATCTTCCGACCCCGGCTGCATGCAGCTGTATTTTAAGATCTTTCGAGACACTCCGTCTTTGAGAGAAACCACTTCTGAAAAGCCAGTTCGCAGTCCCATCTTCGAGGCCTCGATGTGAATTTAATCGCTTCGCTCATGCCGCCGGCCCTGGAGCCCTCTTTAGGACCTCTTGGGGGCCTCTTGGGGACCTCTTGGGAGTCTCTTGGGGCTCCTTGGCGGCGTTTTGGAGGCCCCCAGGGCCCTTTGGGGTAGTCGATTGCGGCTCCCCCCTCGGAGGCCACGATCCTCGTGAGGGGTGTCGAAAAATACCCTCCCCTGGAGTGGTCTGGTGGCTTCTCCCGGGCTTCTCTCGGGACCTTGCCGGGGTACTTTTCGTCCGGGGGCCCCCAGGGGCCGCTCCGCGCGCGCGAACTAGACATATTGTTAACAAGTTACCGGAGATCTTAGCACGCCTCTGGCCCGTTGGGCCGGCGAATAACTGCCCGCTCACCTTTGACAAGGATGCGCCGCCGTCTGAGAGCCAGCAGCTCGCCTGCGCGCATGAAAGTGTCGAAACCGACGAGCATCACGGTCGCCAGACCTTCCCAGCCGAGGTCCCACGCTGCAGCTGCCAAGGCGAGGACCATGTCGGCCGTGAACGGCGTCGCCCGACAAGGCGTGCACTGCCTCTCCCGCGCTCGCACCAGGCTCCAACTCTGCTGCAGGTTGCCCTTCAAGGAGGGCATCATCCACTGCGAAGCCGCTGTCGCATTGACCACCAGGTAGAGCGGCTCCAGCTCTGCCCAACACGCTTCCATGTACAAGCTGAAGTTTTTGTCCACGTCGTTGAGCGAGGACAGCCTCACACTGTGCGCCTTCCACCGCACAAAAAGGCGACCGGCACATCGAACATACCGATCGCGCGTGGCTTTAGTGACCTGTAGGTCACGCAACCGCGTGCCTCGCTTACTGACTTGAGAACGCACGCGCAACCAGCTGCGACGCCTGCCGCCGCGAGCTGTCACTTGGACCATTTTTCGGCGCCATTTCTTAGTCAAAAACTCTCTGGACGGCCGATCACTTGGGTTGATCTTGGTATTGATATACCCAACGCCCACGTACAAGTCTGAGCTGACGAGTATAGCAGCGCACTGTCGAGCGAGTCCTCGAAGCTTCCCCGATGACGTGCGGCCGCGGGTCAGTATCGAGGCCACAACTTGGGAATCGACAAGGTGCAGAACCTTTACGCTCCTGAACGAGGTAGTGCGAGTCCTGTGCCGCAAGGAAGCGTTCACCGCCTTCAACTCGAGCGCGTTGATATGCAGCTCCCTCGACGACTTCGGCCACGGGAAGGACAGCGTCGGCCGCCAGCGCCACAGCGCCGGGTCAATCGAGGATCGCGGCCACGCCTTGGGGCGGAAAGGCACACCGAGGTCGAGGCGGATGTCACCCCCCGACTTCTCGGCAATCGTCCAGAAAATCTCGACCAGCTTGCGGCCGATGGAGGTTTCCTTGATGGGTCCTTCGAGAACTCCACCGACTCGTCGAGTAAGTCCTTTACCTCCAACTCGCTCGTGACCCCCTCGAGGTCGGTCGCCCTGACGGGCCAGCCCAACTGGCATTTCAGACCGAGGAACAACCTGCTAACGACGCAGCAGGCGAACGCGTTCCCCAAGAGGCTGCAGCGATCGTTCTCAACGCTGCCACGGCTGGAGCCCGAGCTGGCTACGGACGACGAGTAGTGGCGAGGGAATCCCATGAGCACCTCCTTCTCCGTGGCACACAAAGGCCTCGAGTCCCCCTTGGAGTCCCGAATCATGTGAACTAGCTCGTACTGGTGCGCAGGGTGCGCGTGCAGGTCCTGGGTCCACCTCTGGATGGCCTCTGGGCTTGCTGTCGATAAACCTGCAGGCTTGTACGGGGCAGTCTTCTCCCGCAGCTGGAGAAACGTGCAGGCTGGGCCCTTGTCCGAGGCCCTGGAGCACCCTGAGGCAAGCCAAGAGCTTGCAGGAGCCTTCGGGACCTGGAGCGCCCTGACGAGGTCGTAGTTGGCCTTGGGCTCCACGTGCGCCCCGGGGAGCTTGAGGACCGCCTCTCTCCAAGACAACCAGTACAATCGTGGCCTTCTATTCTCGGTAAAGAAGGAGTCGCACACGCTGATGGGCCCA